GAGAAGTGAAGGAAACCCACACGGAGCTCTGAGTCACTCGTCTACACTGAATTAATGACATACAAACACAAACACAGCTCACTGCTATTCAACCACAAACACATTCAACACACTCAGGATCAGGAGGACAGATGCTCGAACAAATACACATTTAACTCCTCTTCAAATCATTAAATGATCTTTTTCACTAATTTATTGTGTAATTAACCCGTCACTTATGAGGTCTGCTTTGAGCCACCAACTTCTTCTATCACATGAACCCTTCAGTGACAGAATAATGATTTCTATCTAACCGTGTGGTCTCCAGGAGCTGCTGTAGCTCATATACCGTCTGAATGAGCAGAACCACAGAACCATGACAGATGATCACTTCCTTCATGCAGCAGCACAGCAGCACTGACAAACTGATGCTGACACGTTTCATCACATCTGCAGAGCTTTGGCACATTATTCTCAAATCAAAATATGGATACTTTTCATACTTCAGTCCCTTGAGGTCATGTACATCAGTGGTCTTCAACCTTTTTTGCACCACAGACCGGTTTTAAGCAAGAAAGTTTTCTACGGACCGCTCACTACACACATAACAAAGAATAATTGTTTTTTTTTCTATTGAAAAGTTTCATAAATGAATAAAATTAATTTTTATTGCTTAACATGTTTACTTTTTCTCCTGTCTCAGTATTAAGTCTCTCCCACTTTCCAAAGCAGCTCTCCTGAATGTTTGTTGTTGACTGACGGCTTCGTTTAGCAGCCGGACATCAAAACTGACAGTCAAGTGACAGGAAGACGAGCCGGTCATGTTTCAAAATAAAACACCCTGCAGACTCCGCTGGAAATAAAAATACCCATCCATCATCTATACACCGCTTAATCCTCACCAGGGTCATGGGGGGCGGAGTCTATCCCAGCTGACTCAGGGTGAAGGCAGGTTCACCTGGACAGGTAACCAGTCTATCACAGGGCTACACTTAGAGACAGACAACCAAGCACACTCACATTCACACCTACGGACAATTTACAATCACCAATTAACCTCAGCATGTTTCTGGACTGTGGGAGGAAGCCGGAGAACCCGGAGAGAACCCACGCTGCACGGGGAGAACATGGAGACTCCACGCAGGAAGATCCCGGGTGTCCTCACCGGGACGCCAACCGGAGACCTTCTAGCTGTGAGGCCACGGTGTATCGGGGCTTTGATCCCAGACACAGAGGCCGCGGATCGGTTCCAGCCGGCGGCTCATTATATCAACCATGTCCCTGAGGTACCCTACCAAAGGGATCAATGAAGTTCTAACTAATCTAACCAGTGAGACACCTGCAGCAGATCAGCTGTTGCAAATGAAAATAAAATACTCCACCTGAAAAATACAAAACATTTAACACTGTACATGAAGTGCTACACATGGCACAGAAGCTAATGTTACACAAACTACTGAGACATAACAACTGATATTATTGAGTAGATCCAAGTGTGAGATGTTTCAGCTGCACCAAGATCTGGATTCTACACTGGTACCAAAACATCAGAACCGTAGAGTCACTGTTTGGGTTCTCAATGTTCTAAAGCATTTATGTTTGATGTTCATCACACACTGCGCTGCTCATCTTAGACAAAGCAGAAATACTGAGGTGATTCTGCTGTCATCGGCCAGCTTTTATTGTGAAAGGCTGCACTGTTGTTTCCGTAGTTGTAGCTTGATGCAAACAGGTGGAACATGTCGGCTCCTCTCGGACTGTTCAGGAGCCGTGTCCGGCCGGCCGCTGTCACGTCGCTGCTGCCGGTGAGGATTCCGGCAGGCGGACGGTGGATTTCACGATCACCAACAGGTA